TGGTGTATGATGAGTGGTGTATGATGAGTGGTGTATGATGAGTGGTGGTTGAACAGCTGTTGAATGTCCGTAACACGGAAGTTTTGCACACTAAACTTCCTTTGATAATTCATGTTTTTTGTAAGTAATGTTTAGTTTCAGCTAGTTTAAATCTTATACATTCAATTTCAGTTGTTTTATAATTCTAGTTTAGTTATATTTTTATTTCCAAATTAATTTTGACTAATTCTAATCTAGTTTTAATTCTACTATAGTTCAATGCAAATATATTTCTAGTTCAATGCAAATTGACTTCTCATTCAATTGTGACTTTATTCTAGAGAGAGGGTTCTGCTGGGGGTGTGATTTTAAGCAAACAACCTTTAAGAAAGCAACACATAACTTATATACAAAGCTTTCATTTTAGAAGCAACTCTCTAGAAACAAATTAGAATTGCATAAACGCCAAAATTAGATTAGAAGAAGAGAGTAGACTTATATTACAGTAGATTTAAGCATAAATTGCATAGAAATTAAACTGACAGGAAGTAAACATTAAATATAAATAAATTTACATTGAATTCCCATCAACATAGATTATACATGGAATTTACTAAACATTAACATATGCATAAAACACTCACTGTAAATACAAGTAAATTTAATGCAAGGGTGTTTTTTTTGGGGGGAGTACCAAGGATTGTGCGCGTTGTTTTCGCAATTGAGGCAATATAGTCAGAGCAAACTACATGGGTTTAGCAACACTATATAATGATACAGGTCCTTGACCCCTTTTCCCTTCTCCATCTCCTATAGGAAAATGATCGAATGCCTTTTCCGTCAGGACCGATCTGCATAATTACACCTCAACGCTTGTGCTGGACCAACTTCTTATCCTCTCAAAGATTGAAGTCGACATGGACATTATGGACGCCACGGCCAAGTCTTGGGACCACACAAGGGGGTACAGCACAAATGGAGGGAGGACGGGAGGTGGGGCCAAACATCGGGAACGGCAAACAAAGGGCATCGCTACTAGGAGCAAGGACGCTACTAGGGGCTCCTGGCATTAGTATTAGGAACAAGAAGCTAGTAGAAACAATCATTAGTAGTAGAATTTAAACTAAAAGGCCATCCGAACTCTGGCAATCCATCTGACCGTCTCATTGTTCTCACTGGTCCCTTCCCACACGGCATGGACAACACGCTGCAGCCGGTGGGATACCTGCCGCAACGCCCTTCCTGCAAAGTAGAAACGGCCCTCGGCAGATCCCCACTGGCTGAAGCAGTTCCAACCAAGAACCCAAGGCAGGCATCAAATACACATATTTGAACACACATATTCATATTTGAACTTGTTCTTGCTTTTTGGAAACAACATGAAGAAATTGAAGAAATACAAGAATGCATCACACATTTAATCAAATTGACATGCACAGGGCCTTAGCTTGCCGGTCTTCTGCTACACATGTCATCATTGCCGGATTCACCTTCAGCAGTTCAATCATTGACTCATTCAGGGGTTTCAAGGCAAAGCGACAAAGGCGATGCCCTGCATGCACCATACTAGTCGTAAGGGCCAATCTGCACACTCCACAGCCAAATACACATCTCCACGGCCATCCTGCGAAGCAGAATGTTGAGATTCACATTCGGCGAATCTTTCTTTCTGCATTGCACGCACTGTTCAGTGGCATGCGAGTCAAGCAGGGCAGGTGGACAAATGGAAGATCGCCGACGACTATATTCCGCAATTCTACCTTGGCTCATGCTCGGGGAAAGCTGCTCAAGTGCTGATTAATTATCCTGTCAGTGTCTCCAAACTACCCGAATAGTTTGTCTGCCCCAAGACATGCCACAACTCATTTGATCAAATCCCAACTGAACTGCACCCTCTTGTGCCCCCTGCGATGTTGCACGCTAGGATCTAAGCATCGAGCAGTGTAGGTTGACATACCAAGCATTTGACCTGTAAGTTTTACAAGGTTCTGCCTCAGCTCACAGTGGAGCTCTTGGTGCGTATTCATGTGATTCACTCACTCATCCACAATCGAATCAAATAGCATCTCGATGCCGCAAAGCGTATCAAATTGTAACGTTGAAGTCAATGTGCGCTGTCACAGATAATCCGCTCAAAAAATGTTAATACACTTGTCATGTCATGTCATTATTATATATGCACGGTGGATTTCCGACATGGATGCCCGACAGGTTACAGTAGTATGGCCCTATGGCTCAAAGGCAAGTGCAAATTGAACGATTTCATCCCTATCCTTCCTCTGTGGAGCCCAACCTGCGCCACCTCCGAGGACAGCATGTGCACATTGTCAAACATCTCGTCCAGTCGCCAGTGCACATTCCACCTGAGCTTCTATTCAAACAACAAATTGGGACAGCATGGAACAACTTGCAAAGACCGATTGAACACTGAATTGAAACCGACTTTGAAACTGAGCATTCCTGAGCAAGGCTTGGGACACCGACAGCATTGAAAGCAACAGCACCAAATGAAATCCAGGACAGATCCGTGCAACTTGTCATCGCCCGTTAAAACTATCATGACCCTCGCCCGGTACCTGCCACAAAGGTTGGGAGCCAATCTTGCTGAACATTTACGTAAACAATCATCTTTGCAATTTCCTCAATGATCAAGCATGCCGGTCAGTTCTGCCATAGGAAGATCAGTGCAAGGAGAACAGCGGCAGTGACCAGGATTTCAGACGCCACATCTACTGGATTGATCAAAGGCACGTTTGGCACCTGTAAGCAGAACATAAACAAGACTCGAGGAAAGCTTGTCAAGTTGCATCAGGAACAAAACTCTTCAATCTAAGACCTGGGCCACCATGATAGCTGAATAGCAGCTAGTTCACTGATTGCCACCAAACTTATTGTACAATTTTTTGAGTACTCTACTCTTGCACTCATTGTTTTGACATTTGGCGAAGTCTTTAACTTTTTGGAACCTTGTTGATTGAGTCGTTTGGGCCTTCAAGAGCTGCAGCTTGAATGCCCAACCGTCTGCAATGTGCTTCTACACTCCGTTTCCTAGCTAAACCAATTTCTGGACTCAGAAAAACTGCTGCAATGTTTGAGTTTCTACCAAGCAACTGACAAAAGCATGAGGCACCTGTAAAATTTGTTCCCCAAAGCTGGCCCAGTCCATCTTGTAAAAGATGGACAACTATTGCCCCATTGTGCAACGCTCTGCCTGTGACTATTGAGCTTTACAGAATTCACATCTCAGCAAGTGCGCTCATGTTGAGCCACGACTTGCGCAAATACCGTGTTTGAAGCTTGACTCAACATCCGCTGACGTCCGTTGGCAACCTGAGCTCTGCAAAATACGTATGATTAAACCCCTATGTCGCATAACTTTCTTACGCTCCTGCTTACGCTTTTCTTACGCGACCACAATGTGAGCTTACGCGCCACGGATGTTGAAGAAGACCTTACGCAGATCTTACGCTTCTGCATTTTCACAAATGAGAACCATACTCCCATGGGCCCAAGGGAAATGCTTCCGCAAAGGCTCCTTTTTGCAGGTGAGCGGGCGACAAACACATGATCACTACTGTAAGACTCCGAAGCAAAGGAAGCAAAGGATCACTAGCATCTATATACTTACTGGCTGCCGTGAGATGTTATGATGGGCTGACTTGAGAAAGGTTTGATACAGAGTGGCACACACAAACAAGCACAGTGCACACACCTGAAACACAGGCACAAATGTCAGCTCCCAAGGTCCATACATACAGTTCCTTTCTTGACAAGTGTGTGCTAGGAACCTACTAATGAAAACACAACCATATGGCAAGCTTACGCAACATGCATGTCTCACAACTCCCTTACGCAACCTTACGCTTTTCAGGTTTTTGCTTACGTCCAAGTTCCATATGACAAGGCCTTTACTTAGTTCATCTTGGGAGGTTTCTTGCGGTGCTCACCTGAAAAATATCATTCACATACATCCAGGTCATATCCAATATAGTAACTAGACCTTTGCCTTCCTTTGGGTATGTGCAGGTTTTCTTGAAGTGTTGGTCCGCTTTTTCATGGTTTGGTCAAGTCCACATTCAACCACATTCAAGTGTTGGAATGGAACTGTTTTAATATGGCTTGGTTTGGACAAGTTCCTCTTAAGTTGTGCGGTCGCTGTGTTAACCGAGATCAACGCAAACAGCTATGAACAAGCCCCCCAGGTGAACAAGCGCAAACAAAAAGCGACCTGTTATTGAAACACAAACCAAAACAAGATTGAAACAACCCTTACCTTTGTGGCGAGCAAACGACAACTGAAATCCCGCGCATCTACCATTTCACACTAGAACGAACACCTGGTTTAAGAACCTACTTCATTGTACGATGTGGGAAGAAGCTGCTACCAGTACTTCAACGCTTTGCGCAAGGCTGTGCGCAAATATCAGGGTACTTTGCAAAGTGGCTCTCAGCTGGTCCCACCCTCAAAGGACCCAAACGCAGGCCTTCACTGTTTTTCAGAACCACAGAGTCTCAGCAAAGCCGAGCGTTTCGGAACGATGCTGTGCGACGACAGCTTTCAGACCTTACTCTTCTAGCCCGCACTTGACCCAGCCAGTGACGTCACCCCATGGCGCAACATACCATTTCACCGCTTGAGCGTTTGTGTGAGGACGGTTCCAAAGCAACATACTGGGGCTGAACCGCTTCAGCCGCGGCAAAGAATCTAACTGTCTTGGCCGTGAGAATCTTGCGTCAGGTGGTGATCGAGTTAAACATTTTTTGCAATTCTTCGCTGCGCACTTGAACACTTGGACAGGCAATTCTACTGAGGGAAGGACATCTGACATCCGCTAGAACCAATTATCGGTGAAAGAGTGTAGCCGTTAAGTTCAAATTGTCGACAGGACGATGCGACAGGGGGCAATTTGGCCGAAGTAAGGTCATGAATGCTTAAACGCAGCAAATTCGAACGAACATGATATTGCGAGTACATTCCACTTAACCTATACCACACCGCAAGGCGGGAAGAATAGAAACATCACCGTTGTCTCCCTTTCTGCCTTTGTGTCTCTCTTTACGTCGCTATGCTACTTTTTCAGCTTCTTTTCTGTTTTGCGCCGACGCGGGTTTCAGTGCAAAAAGGGAGTTTGTGTCTGGGGTTCCATTCCTCGAGATTTGTACTTGCACCAAACCACAACCACTCATTTGTACTATTTGCAACAACACCGTACGAGTACCAGTCATATCAGCTGCGTGGGGTCTCAGCTCGGTGTATTTTTTGAAGTGTCTTTCGCTACGCAATCTTTGCTCTCTTGTCCTTTCTTTGTCTCTACTTTTTGTGTTTCGTTTCTCAACTTCTTTAGTTTCCCCTGTTCATTTCTGCGGACCTTTGTATTGTTCATTTAACACTGATGTTCCACGTGCTTTGACCTGGGGCTACTGAGCATCAGCATGGATGAAATTGATAATGGTGGCTTGAGCATATTTGGATGTATTTGGGCCATCAAAATGTTTTACTACACCGAAGCGCGGACGCTGGTTGATCTGGTCGTGTGCATGACTGCAGGGGGTGCCCAAGCCATGCCCTGCGAACTGGCCACCATTGGCCACCTCTACAGGCTAAGCGAATAGTAAGGGTTGGTACATAGCATATAATTAGCCAGCTTCATTGGAGGGCTGTGCTGGTGGAAGGGGTGCCCTTCATCTGGTGTGGCGAACTGACCTAAGCAGGCTGCATCAATCACCTCAAAGTGGGCCTTTGGGTGCAAGGTGCCCACTTGACAGAAATCTTCATGGCAAGACAATCTAGTCAAGGGCTGAAAGATGCTGACAGGGCGGTACTCTAAAGAAATTGGCCGCCGGTGTGGACAGCTCCAGGGGAAAGGTAAGCCAAGTGCAAATGCACTCACAGAATGGGCAACGCCCGTTTCCCATCTCCTGTTCTGATATTTTCTTGGTGTAAGCACCAAGAATCTTTGTTCCTTATATATTGCTTGTTGCATAGAAGCGAACGCCAATGTGAGGTGTGGTCACCATGCGTTTCATTGCGTTTCCACATATTCAATTGTTGACAAGCTAGCTAGATTAACTAGGGATTTGACATCTTACCATGGGTTTCTTTGGGTTTTAGAATCCAGAAGCTTGACAGACTGCCTGCTTGCTAGTGGCCTACACTGTTTCAAAACAATTCAAGTTTGAGTTCTCCAAGTCCGGCACAAAAGCGCTCCACCGCCAGCACACGCCTGTTGGAACACATCTGGCGGGCTGAAATCGTCAGGATTAGCCGCCTGGATCACGCTGAAATCTGCAACCTCCAAACAAGGTTTGCGGCTTTGCCCGCTTGAGGATGCATTGCTACCCATCACAACTGCAGCGTGCAAAGTCAGCCCGTTGCTGTCTTGTTGGCAATTCTCACCCGGGCTGCCTGGATATTGATGCCAGCACGAAGCTGAAGCGCCTCTCGGCACACGCAGGATCTTGTTGCAGGTTTCAATCCAAAGGGCAATTTTCAAAAGGAACAGGCCTGAAAGCCCGCATGCTTAACAGCGAAGACAGTTGAAAGACCAAATACTCAAGCTACTTCCTTTGACACGACTGAGCTGCTGCCTGAAGAACCGGATGCTTGAGATGCAAAAGCAGCCTGCAACAACATCTGTTGGCCAGTGACGGCCATGGATCATCAGAGCTTCTGCGAGTGTTTTTGGAGGCAGAGCTTCAAAGTAAACAGCAACTGTCGACCATATCTACTCGTGCCTGACCAAGGAGCCCTCTCGCAAATCTGGGCATCCAGAACACCCCTGCGCAACATCACCCGGTTCAGATCAAGGTTTTCTACCTAGAGTTGTGGCCTGTACAACTTGAGCTCTGACAAGAATTCCGTCAGCTCCTTCATGGACCTGGGAAATTTAACATTTTCTGCGAGATTTGACTCAGATTGGAAAAGCATGGAAAAGCACCAGATTGAAGAGCATCAGGCCTGCCACACAGTTAAGGTTAAAGCAATGCGCCTCGGGCAATGCATGCTGAATCTACCCGAAGCCAACTGCCCGAAACCAATTGTCTGATCAAGCTTCCTTTCAGATTGGGTTTAGCCCAATGGAAGCCATGTTATGTTTTTGAGATCGTGTTTTTGACAATATATATACTCTATATATATATAGGCAATATTGTACAGTAAGTAGACGGACTGACTCTTTCCGCAACCAAACGCCGATCTTGAGTGGCTGACGCCTTACCAGTTGGTACCTAGCAACATGGTTTGGCCAGACGGTATTGAATCAAATTGACACTCCGCCTTGCTTGCTTCTGCTTTTCCTGCGATTTGCCAAAACGGGTGGCACAAAATGGCAAACAAATAGACTAAACAAATGGTACATTATGTTACATAATGCTTTCAAACTTTTGTTTGCTTACCTGCGTAAATGTTGTTCAGCTTGTGACAAGCTATTCATCACCAAGCAAGTGATTTTTTCGTAACTTTTGTTTCACGGTGCAAACCCTTGCGTTAGGTACCACCGTTAGGCAAACATCACCTTGCAAACAACTGCAGCCCCCAAAGGCCAAAATCTTTGTCGTGAATTGCTCTCACGTTCATGCGGTAGGCAGTGTGACGTTTAGTGGGCCCTTGGAAAAGTGGTTGTCCTACCACCCGGCTAAGCTTTAAACTATTAGACAAACGATGTGAGACAAAAGGGACACGTGGAATACGATAACGACAGGAACCCAGCATATCTGTTTAGAATTGAAGAGAATTCTCACACATTCTCATACAATTTCGTGTTCCACCAACATGTGAATACTGATATTCGAAGATCTGAAGTGCTTGCATGCCGGATGTAACATACTATAGCAGCTGTTTGACCAACCAAGAAGACCATCATCGAACAATAAGCCCCCAGCAGCCAGCCTGTTTGAAAGATGACCTGTGTCAAGTAATGCCGGACCTCGTCAAAAGGCCGATCTAGCTTGATGTTCAGCAATGATCAGTCATTGCATATTCAAATACAACATACAAACACACACACACACGTATGTGTATATATATATATATCTTAACTTACAGTGTATATATATATATAAAGGGTGAGATCACGCATCTTTTCTTGTTCGCTCTGCAGCATATTTGTCAAAATTAAAGGCAATTGGGAATGAACAATCCTCCCATAAATTTTACCGAGTTAGTTATCCCCCCCCTTCTCGGTCCACTACACGAAGAAGGGGGCGCTCCCGGATAACTGTACCCCCCTGACCAGGTGGGCCACACCCCAAGCCCTGGCCAAGGGACTTTGAACTCTTTTGTTCATTTCACTCTTTGTTCATTTCATCTCAGAGCGTTTCTAGCTCTTCTTTCTCGGTAATGAGGATCAGCCCGTCCTCTGGGCTTCCCAGCAGCCCCAAAAACACCCACAACCAGGCTTTCCGAGATGAGAAAAACTCCCAGTAAGTCGCGGGTTTGGAACAATGCAGGGAAGAATCAAGTTGGCGGCGCTAGTCCGGTTGTCATGTTCCACCGAACCACTCCCTTGAAAAAAACGGCTCTCTTGCTAGCCTTAGTCAATCTACGTGAGTCAAGTTTCAGGCTGTCTGTGCGGGTTTGAAACTGCAAACACAGGCAGAGCTGCGCATACTTTTACTTGGGCATAAAAGGGCCTACGGTCAGGCCTCGTGTCTGGTTATGACTCTGTTCGTCAAAAGATGAGTGCTCTTGTAACACTCCCCCTTCGCATTTCATGCGAACTTTACAGCTCAAGGCCCATCAGGGCATTTTGCCCTCTTCTTCCAACCGACTTAGACTGATCCTGTCATCATCAGGCCAGTCGTAGTCATACGGTGACTGCGCACTCCCACTCAGCGACGGGGCTTGGTTTGCCTCCATCAGCATGTCATAGGCACTTGTTGCTTCCTGCTGTAAGCCCGGGGCCCGATGCCATCGCCTTCGGCTGCTGTTCACCTCCACCTCTTCGATGTTGGTCTTGGCACGCCGACGCTGCGCTTCCCAAGCTTCCATCTGCTCGCACCCTTGTAGAGTCCGGGGTCGACCAATCCAGTCGTGACCGTGGGGAGTGTTGACGAGATCGTTCCACTTCCACTTGATCCCCCTTCTGGCATTGCTGTTGCAATGTAGCACGGAGTTCCATTGTCCGTGCGGCCCTCCACCAAGGTCAACTGCAGTGAAGGAACTTCAGCATTTGGTTGCTGTTCCATCATAATGGCCTGCCTCATCAGGTCGTTCCGATGGAACATGCGGCTTCCGACCTGCACCCAATAAATGGGTTCAGATCCCGGTCATCTCTCCCAGTCTCGCTCTGAGTCTGTCAGTGCCTGCAGCGCCAACCTCAGTCCCTCTGTCCCTCTCTGGAAGTCCCGTCCATCGCTCCATGGGCGGCATAGGAGCAGGAGGTTTTCCAATCCTCCCTGTTGTCTTTGCCTTTGCGCCTGGTAGTATAGCGCTGTCGATGCGCTTGCCGTTGAGTTGATTGGTGGTCTCTCTTCCACCCACATTGGTCCATCTGTGCTCGCCGAAGACCTTGCAGTCCTTTCTGTCGTCGTCCCAGTGCCCACAGGATCATGTACTCGCTGATGGCGCAAGTTGGCTGCTTCTTCAACTCTCATGTCCTCTGGGATCCGAAGGTGTGGAGGAAGTGTATGTTCTTGTCGAGCCCACTCCCCAACAGGTCTCGTGCCCACATAGTAGCTTGCCGCCTTTGCCCCATGCACTTGGCTGTGCAGTTCAAAGAACGTGTACCCATTCCATCTGCCCTCAATCTTGTTGTTCACCCTGCTCTCCCTCGTTGGTGGCTCAAGCCATGAGTCTTCCGAAGGTCGGCCTGGTTGCTCCCCACCAATATACTTGATGGTCACCCTCCTGCCTGTCAAGATTTGCTCATCTCGCAGTGGGTACGTGGCATCTCTGGTACCTCATTTTGCAGTGGACCCTCACCACGAAGTTCTCCACCACCTGCCAGCGATCTGTGGTACCTGTTGGAGGCACATGGAACGGCGGATGCCACCATGGCTCATGCGGTCTCGCTCTTGGTGGGCCGCCGTCATCAGCTTGCGTCATCTTGACCATTGCTCGCAGACGCGCGGTGGTCTTTTGGTCACCACCCTGACCCTGTCGGGAGCCCGTTGGGCTACTGTCAGGAGGATGGGTTCCCCTGCCGGGTTCATTTTGGGCCCTCGCCACTTTTCTTCTGGTCTGGTCCGATCTTTTCTTTTCTTTTGCATCTTCCACCATGGGTTCATTTCGTGCCCTCATGATGGTCTCCTCTGCTTTGGGAGCAGATCCCCCCAGGGATGGTTCATCTTCCCTATCCCATTTTTTCTGAATCTTTCTCAACCAGGTGACTCCTGCCAGCATGAGTGCAAGAGCCACCAAATCTACCAGCTGCGACTCAGCACCACTTGCAAAGAGCGCCGCTGCACATAGTACTGCCAACGCACCTCTCATAATGGTCCAATCATCATCATCTTGATGTGTTTGTTGCTTCACCGCCATCGTTTTCACCTGAGCAGGGGCTTTGCTTTTGTTCTCCCTCATCGCAATCTGGTTCACGAATGAGTCAAAAGCCGGTCCCATCAGCTGCTTTGCGAGGCCATCTGCTGGCAGTTCTGTCCCCTTCACATGATGCGTATGCCACCCGCTCACTTCGCACCCCACAGCTGCCCTCAGCCCCGCTGCACGAAGTCGAAGATGACGAGTTCTCCACGCACCAACATCACCCTGGCATAGCGCCAGTGCACTCTTATTGTCACCATATAACGACCTCCTCACATTCTCCAGGCCCAGAGCCTCGAGAAGAGTCGCAACCCCTTCGGCCTGCTGGAACACCTCCGTGTAGGCCACCAACTCTGCTTCTGCTGTTGAGCCTGTAATGAATGGCTGTCGTGCAGAGCTCCACAAGATGGGACATCCCGCCACCATCACGATGGTTCCATGAACCGACTTGTAGGCTTCAGCCGCTGGTGCAAATGATGCATCTGCATAGGCCTCTACATCAGCCTCACCTCTCGGGAATTTGAGTTCTTCATGTTCACCAAGTAAATGCTCACTCGCTCTTCTAAAGTTGATGCCCCAGTCTGCCGTGTCCTTCAGGTACGTCAGGATCGACCTTGCGTGCTCACAAACCTCCTTCGGGCGGCGATGCATTGCCCTGCTGAGGACCCCCGTGGCATGGCAGATGTCTGGCCTGCTTCTACACGTAACCCACTGGAGCTCCCCCACGAGTGTTTGAGCCTCTCTCAGTGTTGCAATGTCGAACTGCTCATCCTCTGCCTCTTGGAGAACTGTTCCTTTCCACGTCGACGGACCTGTCACTCCCTTCTTGTCACAAAGGTCCAGGATGTAGTCTCCTTGATGCAACTTGTAGCCATCGTTCATCCGGAGCACCTGGAAGCCACAGAACTTCAGTTCCAAGTATTTGGCTGCCCGAACACTCCCAGATGGCTTCCACCTCATGGAGCACAGACCTGACTTCCTCAGTTGGTCCTACCACAATGAGGTCATCCACGTAGGTCCCCAGGTAGGCCTTCACCTTGCCGTCCAGGTCCACAATCTTCCATACATTGGCCTCCGCCAACTGTTCCATTCGTCGGGCCTGTCCATCGCAACTCCATGTCGCTTTTCTCAGGCATTGATTGCGGTGACAAGTCCAATCCTCTGGTGACTCTCTTCAAACCATACAAAGCACCCTCTGCCGCCCACATTGTTCCAGGCGGCACGATCCCCAACTGGATTATCAGTTGAGGCGGTTTCACAAGGGTCACCCGATGCGCTGCACTTCTCTTTGGTGCCTGCAAGAACGCACTCTTGATGTCCGTGGAACCACATGTCCAGCCCCTCTGCGCCAAAGTTTCCACACCCCACAATCCTTGCCTTCCTTCTCCCGCATGGCGCTTTGCGACTGCACACTTGCATCCACCTCGAAAGCCATTCTCTTGGCGGCTTAAAAAAGAGGGGAAGTTCTCAATGTAGTGTGCTTGCACCGTCCAAAGCCAATCCCCGGATGATCCGGGCCTGCGTCTCCGAATCCTTTGGCAATCCATCTGCTCGGCACTGGTCCTGCATCTTTGAGATCTCTGGCAATCCATCTGCTCGATGTCGTTCCTGAAACGTGAGATTCTGGCGCCCCCAAAAAGAATTCAATGCCATGCAAATAGTACACAACCAATCAACAGTCCATGCAAGATCCTTGGATAAAATGGGCCCCGACAGTTCGCGAAGGGTAGGAAGGGGAAAGGTGTCCGTGTGCTTTGTCTGTACCGCTGGACTATTCTCCCCATCCGTGGGCTGCCTGCAGAGCGATGAAACCCCCGCAAACTCTGACACAAAATTTCCCCCATCTCCCACAACTGTAATCCACACACTTCTTTTTTCGAACCCTCCAGGTCCGAGGGATTGAACCCCGTCTGTACCAGGGACGCCACCGGCTCCGGCGCTGGTTTGTCTCGCGCCTTGCCAACTGAACTCCCTTGAGGAAAATTAATTGGCGCCTGCGGTGGGAAAGATTCATCCACTCCGGCGCCTCCCAGGGCTGAGAACCCCAACATCGTAGTTTTTTCTCGAGGGGCCATCCAGGCCACTCTCCTCTTTGAAAGCTGTTGACCCCTTGTCACGGGTCCTTCTTCTGCTTGCCCTTTCCTTTCTTTCGCTTCTGCCGATTTCGGTCTTTCTTCGATGGGTCCAGGCCGCTTTCTCCGAACATGACCTTCTGAATCACTGCCTCGAACTCAATTGCGGCGCTGCTGGTCGACGAACTTGTTTTCACAGGGCTCTTTTCCCCGGCGGCCTCTGACTCTGAGTCTGTCTCCTTGCTCCTCATCTTCTTCTTCCTCTTTGATCCTGAGTCGCTGGTCGAGGTACGAGCCATCTTCTTCTTGCGACTCTTCTTTTTCCTCTGAGCCTTTCGCCGCAGCCGGTTGCGAGCCCTCTTTGAAGGATCCAGTCCACTGCCTCCGACCATCACCTTCTGCTCGACCGCCTCGTATACTCCATCTCGGAACTCGAAGACGAAGTCGAGCTGCTCTTGCCAGGGCCCTTCGCCCTGCCTTCCTCCTCTGCTTTCTTGTCCTTCTTTCCTCTTTCGGATTGGCTTGAACTGTCCTTCTTTCTCTTCTTTTTGTCCGATGAGCCTGAACTCCTGCGGCCTCGCTTTTGCGCCTTCTTCCTTTTATTGTTCTTCTCTTTTTTCTTTGAGTCCTCCTTTGCAGCCTTCTTCACGCCAGCTCCTCGATGTCCTCGGCCTGGGTCGGGAAGCTCGTCCATGCGATCTCGAAGTCCTGCCAATTCGTTGGTCGTAGTCACGGCGCAGACCAGGACGTCGCGCCAGGGGAGATCGGCCAACTCGTCCAGGGCTTTATCCCCCGATACCTCCGGCAGTGCACCAGTCCAGGACTGCAGTCAGCGAGACAGAGGTGAACCTGGGTGTGGAGTCTTGCTTGAACCCCATGTCAACAGGCTTCGAGGTCCGTACCCGTCAACTTCACCATGAAATAACGCCCCGATGCATCTCTGAGCTCCTCGATGACCTTCCCAGAAAACTAGCAGGCGTTGCCGTAATAGCTGGCTTCCATTCCATGGATCAGCTCCCCAATGGCTGGCTCCTCCTCTGGTACAGGGATCCGTCCCCGATCTTCCTCTTCTGCTGCTGCTGGCCTCCTCGAAATGCCCCTCCGACGGGGCTCCATAGCCGGGCGGCGTGCTACTTTCGGCGCCATCCCTCTCCTCCTTTACCACGGCCTCCGCCGTGGTTCGAGTAGTACTGTCCTCTGAGGACGTGCTTGTACCCCTTCCAGCGTGGGGCTTTCCTTTCTTCTTCCTCGTAATACTTCGGCGGCGAATGCGATGGTGTACGCGGCCGTCGGGGCAAAGGCTTTCTTGCTGAAGGCTTCAGCTGTCCGTGTAAGACTGTAGCGCTTGTCTGCCTCAGCGTCGTCTTTAATCTCCTCTGGAGCTGCTTCCTCTTCCTCCTCAGTTGCAACCTCTACTCCGTCGTCCTCCTCTGCCGGTGGACTGGTTGGCTTCTTGTCAACTTCTTTCTTCTTCTCAGGGCTTGGACTGCCCCGTTTTTTATCCTTCTTCTCCCTGCTCCTTCTGCGAGTCCGTGATCTTCGAGACCTGGATCTTGATCTTCGCCTCCTTCTCGAGCAGTCCTTCTTCTTTGCTTCACCCTTTGGTTCGGCTAAACGGCCTTTGTCCCCTTCTGCCTCCTTCTCCTCCTTCACGGCCTTGCGTGCGGGTGCTGCTTCCGAGTTGGGCGTACCCTGATGTTGCCCTTTCTCAAACAGATCTGGCCCCGAACCTCCAGGCGGCTTCCCGCTTGCAGAGTCAGAGACTGGCGCTCCGGTACTGTCCACGTAGCCGGCCGTGCGGTCTGACTCGTACTTCTCGCAGGTCTCTTCCACTGTGTCGCAGACCTTCCTCAAATAATGGAAGAGCTGAGTCGCGGAGTAGGGAGGTGCTCTCGTGAACACAAGCTCCGATGAACCTGTCGGCTTCCCTAGGCGACTGTCACAGCCACGACAGGCTGTCATTCACCTCGATAAGCCGAAACACTACGGAACAAGAAGTTTAGGCTACTCACTCTTTACACCCGGGGGCGGATTACCATAGGTTCTGTATGGGTTCTTTGGCTCCAGACACTTGACGAAAAGCGATCCTGCAGCCCCCGGGGCAAGGCTCTATGTCGAGCTTGCCGCAAAGAAGGGGCCAAGTTCACCTGAAGGGGCCAAGAGCGAAAAGCGCTGAGCAGCGCTTGTAAGAAGCCCAAAAAACCCTCTTGCACAGCCAAGCTCGCTGCTGAAAGTTCCATCCAATCGGCCAAACAACTTCTGCGCACACTTGCCTCAGTTCAGTTCCTCAATGGCTGATGATTCCAGCAGTATTTGTCTTTAGGTACTCGGTACTCATGGCGTCCAGCTGTGGCCTGCGAGTTCTTTTTTCCCCAAAGCCTCTGACTATATAAGTACGCTCCAGGATTAACAACGGCTCTTGAATTTGTTTGATTAGGCTGAAGGGAGCCAGCTCTTCCTCAGACGCGCCATTCCAGCTTTTGACCATTATCACGAAAGATCGTTCTGCAAACATCTAACACAATTTCACGGCCCATGCATGTTTCAATTGCTACGGGAATGGTATGGAATGGCTACAAGCATCTGACAGAGTATACGTTGAGTTTACAGGTATGTCAAATATGTCACCACTGTCACCACATTAATTACAGCTGTTTGGGCCTTGGGTGACGCAAGGCTTTTGCTTCATATTCCTGCTAGCACGCACCAGCGCTCAGAACTAAAAACCTTATATAGGTTTGGGCAAGTGTGCGTATCGAATATTGACCAGCATGAGTCCTACATTGAACTTTGATTCATATTACCCAACACCAATGATTAGGAACAGTTTGTTCGTCTGTCGCCCGAAGAAGGGTATTGGGAACACATATCAGGGTGGCAAACTCCCAAACAAATTGTTTCAACAATTTCTGCCTTCTGCGCTTTGGTGTCAAAGTTCTTTGTTGCATTTGAGCTGGGACTTATCTGCATTCGAGAACCATCCCGTGAAGAACTTCTTTGCAATCGATCCTCGGATACTAGATTCTGCAGTGGATCTCTTTACTCGGCCAATTGACTCTCATCTGTCTTCATGTCCAACTTGTTTGTCATTGCCGACCGAAGGCTGGACTGGGAAGGGCTTGCAAGTTGCCTGGGTTTCTTGTGGCCAGGCCAATCTGGATCTGGATTTCGCACTTCTCCTCATTTTTACTTCAAAAGCGTTCGTCCAAGGGCAGAAGCTTGGCAACCAGTTGGCGTGCAAACTTTAAGCACTTTTGGAAACTCCTCCAGCAATCAAATAATGAGGTTGGACGCTTGCTCCGCTGGAAAGAAAAACACGTCGCTTTTGCCGGGGCTCCTCCTCAAACTATATAAACCTCTTCTCCAGTGACCCTGGCACTGGCCCTGAACATGCAAAGTACATTGTACATGTCAAAAACACCTCCGAAAAACACACAAGAACCCTGCGTTTTAGCCACTCTGGAAGTGGCATCTTCAAATCAGACTTGCATATCGCGCAGGGCCTCGATTGGCGTAAATGTCTTTTGTATGTGTAACGTATTGTAAAGTACCATGCCATGTCTCTCCCAATTGACTTTCGGGGGTTGCTATGCCTGGACAGCATGTCGAACCCAAACTGCTCAAGCGTCAAGTTCGTGCATGTCCATAGTTTTGGTCTGGGGACACTTGTTCACTGTAAATCTGTCAAATCCACTTACTGAAGCGTTTGCAGATAGTAAGTGACCAAAAATTTGAATCACATCACACGCAACACCCCGCCCTTCTACAAGACATATGCAAATTGCAAATTGCAGCAGCAAACCTTCCTTTCCCCTTTTGGAGTTGATTTGGGAGACCTTTTCTGAACAACATTGAATCTTTGAGGTTTTTGTTCTAACACCAACATGTCTCACCGAAATCCTAGGCACTTAAAGATTTCCCATGAAACAAAATCTTGAAACCTGCCTGAAATGTCCTTCCAAGATCTTTTCCACAAAACAAAGTCTTGCAGTGAACCCATGTATTGGAAAGCGGCCAAACGCAGGCTGAAATCAGCACGCCAAGAAAAATGTGCAAACCGCACCCCTTGACCCATGGATCAAGGATGATAAATTGTCTGGTGTTTAAAACTGCCACAGGGTGGCATTGAAGACTAGCGACATCATGCTTCCCGTGCTCATGCTGAGAAACTTGAGTGTCGCACCTCAGAAACATCCGGACCAAAGGAAACCTGGCACGCCCAGGCCACGTCTATGAGCACAAAATAGCGTGTGCTTTCAAAATGTTTTGGACATCTGCAAATTCCCATATGATTTTGGTGGGAATGTGTGTGCGTGCGTGCGTGCGTGCGTGGGTGTGTGTGTGTGTAACCCTTGGAATCATAGGGATCCTTTTGGATTTGTTCGGTTGGCTTTTTGTCAGAGCAGGGGGCACCGGAGGGGCTGATGAGACCGGTGCTAACAAAGACACTCATCAGTCACCTGTGATACAGTTGGAGACGTCCAACTGCGTACCTGCAATTTTTCCAATTTTCTGCATGGCGTGAGGCTAAGCCAAGGGGGACGGGACACCACTGGCACCGCCCGTCCAACGAAAAGGGCGTCGGTGGTGATGCAGTGGAGGACGCTCCACTGTGTACCTGCGAGAATTTTTGAGAAAGCTGTGACTCCACTTCTCCATTTTTTTGGTTCATGGTCCTTGCGCGATACCTCCACAAAGCCTTTTCCTGCCGATGAGCCGCGCCGTTCGTTTCGCCACCGCCGTGTCGTGAGCTGTAGATGTGCGTAAACCTTTGTTAAACAATACTTTTCTGCGGACCTTGCCACCTTTCTGTTCCATCGCCCTTTTCGACCTGGGAACTGAGGTAACTGCAAACCCAATATCAAAGTGTGTGCCGCTGTGCCGTCCCGTGTGGGTGCACAGTGTGATCCCCGTCACTGGGGCGCTGATTTCATGCCGGATTACCACTAACTGACTTTACAGCTTTCTGCGCTCGTTGGATTATCTTAACCGATTTTCGTTTCACTACTGTATTCTCAAAAACAAAAGCCGCCGGGCTTCACGGAAACTCAAAGCCGCCGGGCTTGCCCCTCCCTCGTCCCTCTAATTAGGGTAACAGAGCGAAATAGTACTCGACACAGTTGTGCGTCGGTGCCTTTCCCTCTGTTGTCCCTTTCTAGTTACTCTACCCGGGCGGTTTAAGACTAAAGTCCCGCTCCCTAACTATTGCACCTAATTCACTTCTGCTAAGTAGTCAGTAACTCTAGAGTGTTAGGTAGTCATACACAAACACACACGGACACACACACACACGCATGTTACATACATCCCCTCCCTACCCCCACTTTCTTTCTTGCGCTTTTCGTCGTTTGTTCTCTTGGCCTTTCTCCCAGGCTTTTAGGTGGTTCTTGAGGCTCGTTTCCCTACCCCAGTCAAGGGCTAAGTATTCACTTTTCGCTACTCCTATCTTTCTCTCCTGCCCTTTTAGCGCTGCTCTTTCTGTCTTTCTTTCTTAAGGCTTTTTAGGCGCCTATTCAGGTTTTTACGCCAGAGCGCCGCAAAGCGGCTGAGTGCGTGTGTGTGTGTGTGTGTGTGTCACACTCTGTTTCCAAGAGTTTTCAACACGCACGGGGACGGGACACCACGGGCACCGCCCGTCCAACGAAGAGGGCGCCAGTTGGTGGTGATGCAGTGGAGGACGCTCCACTGTGTACCTGCGAGAAATTTTGAGAAAGCTGTGACTCCACTTCTCCATGTTTTTTCATGGTCCTTGCGCGATACCTCCACAAAACCTTTTCCTGCCGATGAGCCGCGCCGATCGTTTCGCCACCGCCGTGTCGTGAGCTGTAGATGTGCGTAAACCTTTGTTAAACAATACTTTTCTGCGGACCTTGCCACCTTTCTGTTCCATCGCCCTTTTCGACCTGGGAACTGAGTTATATAACTGCAAACCCAATATCAAAGAGTGTGTGCGTGTGTGTGTGTGCCCCCCTCCGTATCTAGGATTTTGGATTTATCACCGCCTCGTCATACCCACCGTAACGCAACGAAGCTACGGTATGACGAGGGAAGGGTGGACTGATCATCCACCTGTACCTGCGCTGAACACAATGACTCCACTGGTCTCCCTTGCTGCTGTCTTTTTGTCTCCATGGTGGTTTCTCGCGATACCTCCCATGAAACCCCTTTTGCTGCCGCGTTTTGCAGCTTGACACCGCCGCGTTCTGCAATCAGGCGCAAACAGTGTTTCCGACCATTCAAGTGAGCTGACTCCATCGCCTTTCCGTTCTCTCACTCCTTTCGACGTGGATCAGGATTAACTGAGAACCCTGTGAATAAGTGCGTATCGCTGTGGAGTCGTCCCACTGGGTGCACAGTGTGATCCCCTGCAAGGGGGCGCTGAAGCCATTGTGTATATCAAGCTTTTCTGACTCGAAGTGCCGCCATCGTGGATTCTGGTTTGAATTGAATTTTGTTTCACCCATGAATCAACCGATCGCAAAGCGGCCGCGCATACGGAATATCAACCTTTCTTCACGTTCTGCAAGGTTGAAGAGCTTTTCAAGAGCTGATTCCTTTTTGGGTTTTGCATGTACTTCTAACTCTTGATGAGTCTTTCCAGACCACCTTGTCAACTTGTACATTCACAAAGGACACGCAGCAATTGACTGCAAGCGGCTACGTGTGCGTGTGTAACCCTTGGAATCAAAGGGAACCTTAAGGGATGGAACAGGGGGACGGGACACCTCTGGCATTTCCCGTCCAACGAAGAGGATGCCAGCAGGTGCTGATGCAGTGGGGGACGCCCCACTGTGTACCTGTTCCACTATTTAGGAAAACAGGAGGAAATGGTACTCGACACACTTGTGTGTCGGTGCCTTCCCTTCTGTTTTCCTATAGACTACTCTACAGGTTTGCAGGTAGGCCTCCAAACTTTGTAAGGGGTTCTTTAACTTGAACTTTGGCCTCTACCCACTAGATTGACCCCCAACTCGCTGTTTTGCTGTCTTGTGCTTTTGTGCTTCTTGTAACCTTGTAGCACTGGCCTCCAACTTGGTACCCTGGCCTCTACCCACTAGCAAGGACCTCCAACTTTGACTGTCTTGTGGTTTTTCTTGCGCTTTGTAACCTGGTAGCGCTGGCCTCTAACTTGGTACCCTGGCCTCCAACCTACTAGCGATGACCTCCAACGTTGCTTTTGCTGTCACTTTGTGTCTATGGTCCACCGCCTACTAGCGATGGCCTCCAACCTTAGGTCTTGGCCCCAACAGCCTCGCGTTGACCTCCAACCCAAAACTACTATTTCCTGGCACCTCAGGCCTTACAACTAACCTAGGCCAGCGTGTGGCATCGCTTTCAGTTCAGTACACCCTATCCTAAGTGTGTGTGCGTGTCCCCCTCCGTATCTAGGACTTTGGATTTATCATCACCGCGCGCAGGGGCGTACGGCTCGTCATACCCGCCGTACGCAACGAAGCTACGGTATGACGAGGGAAGGGTGGACTGATCATCCACCTGTACCTGCGCTGAACACAATGACTCCACTGGTCTCCCTCGCCGCTGTCTTTTTGTCTCCATGATGGTGGTTTCTCACGATACCTCCCATCAACCCCCTTTTCCTGCCGCGTTTTGCAGCTTGACACCGCCGCGTTCTGCAGTCAGGCGCAAACAGTGTTTCCAACCATTCAAGTGAGCTGACTCCATCGCCTTTCCGTTCTCTCACTCCTTTCGACGTGGATCAGGATTAAATGAAAACCCTGTGACTAAGTGTGCGTCGCTGTGTCGCCCCACTGGGTGCACAGTGTGATCCCCCGCAAGGGGTGCTGAAGCCATCGTGTATCAGGTTTTTCTGACTCGAAGTGCAGCCATCGTGGATTCTGGTTTGAATTGAATTTTGTTCCACCCATGAAACAACCGATCGCAAAGCGGCCGCGCATACGGAATATCCACCTTTCTTCGCGTTCTGCAAGGTTCAAGAGCTTTTCAAGGGTTTTTCGTTATTTTTCATGACACTCCATGTACAGCTAGCGTCACCTGCAAGATTCGATGGTCACTTTTTAATTGCTCGATTCCTTTTTGGGTTTTGCGTGTACTTCTAACTTTTGATGAGTCTTTCCAGACCCACAAAGGACACGCAGCAATTGACTGCCAACGGTTTTTAAGAGCGAGAAAAGATTTCAACCTGCTGCGAGCGAGCGCCGCTAAGCGGCTACGCGTGTGTGTCCCCCTCCGTATAAAGTTTGGACATATCACCGCCGCGCGCAGGGGCGTACGGCTCGTCATACCCTCCGGACGCAACGAAACTACGGTATGACGAGGGAAGGGTGGACTGATCATCCACCTGTACCTGCGCTGAACACAATGACTCCACTGGTCTCACTCGCCGCTGTCTTTTTGTCTCCATGGTGGTCTCTCACGATACCTCCCGTCAACCCACTTTTCCTGCCGCGTTTTGCAGCTTGACACCGCCGTGTTGCGCAAACAGTGTTTCCAACCATTCAAGTGAGCTGACTCCATCGCCTTTCCGTTCTCTCACTCCTTTCGACGTGGATCAGGATTAACTGAAAACCCTGTGACTAAGTGTGTGGGTGGGTGTGCATTGTGTCTGCGCTAACTCCGCTGCTTCAGACTGATTGTAACTGCACGGCGCCTTCTTCCTTTTCTCAGGCGCAGCATCAGAACCACAGGCCTCCCAGGATGAATCTGAGGGAAATTGAGTTCTGATCGACTACAACCAAACTTGCGTCTGCGTGAACTGTTCAAGGGACTCCCTCTCAACTCAAAAGTGTTTGGGCTTTTGAAAGCACATACAGTAATGTGTGGGAACGCAGGATATACGACACCTGCAAACAAATCAGTTGGGGTAGTCCACCACCTCATGCTGTGCTGACCGTGGAATGCCCAGCCCCATCTCCTGCAAATCTCTAAAGCGATCCGGGCCCAGGACCTGACGGAGATCTGACCCAAACGGAGAGTTTCAGCGACAAGTGCGTCACGTGCCAGGAATTTGCAAGCGAACCTTTGTTGGGCTGTGTGGCTATAGATTTATCACTTCCATGAAGCTATGTATATACTGAAAACAAGAAATGTATTATAGTTGTATAGTGTATATACACACCTAGGGTTCCATTGTTGGCGCCTCGTGTGTCTGCCAAAGGCCAGCCTATATAGGTGGGTAGCGCCAGCGGGAAACTTCACTTGTGGGAGGGGGCTGATTTTGGAACGTGGGATTCGGCTCATTTTGGAACACACAGAATTTGTTCGTTGAAACTCATTCTGGAACACATGATTCGGCTCACTTTAGAACACAACAGCCCCGTCGCCCTGTGGAACAAATTCCGGCGTTCGTTCGCGGGTAGTATGCCTTCCTGGGTTGCTTTGATCTCGTTCAAAAAAAAGTGGGAGGGGGCGCAGGGGAGGGCGCAGCGCCTCTGCCTCAATGTAAACCAAGTCTAGTGGCTTCGTTGGTGGGGCTCGTTGGTAGCTAGGGTTCGTTGGTTGCTTCGTTGCTTGGCTTAACCCCCGCATGGCTCACAAACGGCATGCTTTGGGGCACCTTCCTGCTCCAAATTTTACCCTCGCGTGGCTCACAAGAGGTATGCTACCTTGGAACGGCACCTTCTTGCTCTAAAATTTACCCTCGCGTGGCCCACAAAAAGTATGCTTTGGTATGGCACCTTCCTCCTCTAGATTACACAAGGTACGCTACCTTGGAATGGCACCTTCCTGCTCTAAATTTAACCCCGCGTGGCTCACAAAATGTATGCTTTGGAATGGCACCTTCCTCCTCTAAATTTTGCTCTTGCGTGGCGCACGAAAGGTATGCCACTTTGGAATGGCATCTTCCTCCTCGCAAAAAGTGTGCAACCTTGGAATGGCATCTGCCTCTTCTAAATTATGCACTCCGCGTGGCTCACAAAAGCTACGCTACCTTTGGAATGAAAGGTATGCTTTGGAATGAAAAATTGCACGAACACAATAGAAAAACACACCAGAAAAACAAGACGAAGAAAACACCACCAGAAGGAAACAGAACTGCAGCTCCTGGGAGTGCAGTTTTCCGCTCTTTTCATTAGCAATAGGCCTAGATTTTACTACATTGCTACATAAACTGCACTCCCATATGCATGATCACACCTGAACCTGGTAGCAGGCAAGGCAATATTTGCAGACTCTTGGAACGAGGGAGGCCAAAAACATCAAACAACAAAAAACAAAAATATTCCCAGACTCTCTGCATAGGGGGTCCCAGCCAAGACTCTCTGAATATTGTTTTTTCTTTTGTTTTTTGTTTTCCCGAGGTTCTGGAAAAAACAAAAACAAAACTGCAGACCCCATGAGCCGTCCCAAGACTTCAGACATAGGGCGCGCAGCTCCTTTTAAATATGCTTATTTCTTTATTTGATTCCAAAAAACTACTATTTATTTGCGTTGCTCTTCTAAACATGATTATTTTCCATTAGGGATTTTTAATGTATTTTCCTGTTTTAAATCATGTCGTTTTTGCATTGGTTCTTTTTCACGTTAAAACGTAAAAAGACATTGATTCCTTTAACGGTGTAATATTTTCAATTTGTTTCCCTTTTAAAAATGTTATTTACTTTAATTTCCTTTTCAGAATGATTGGTTCCTGGTATTTTCCTTAAACAATTACTTCCCTTTCTATTTTAAAAATATAATTTCCTTTTAGTGTCCTTTCAACAATGATTATTTTTGCGTTCACGTCCTTTTAGAAATGACTAATGTTATTGATTACTATTTCCTTTTGACAATGATGAATTCCTCTCATATCCTCTTTAAACAATTATTTATTGTTCTATGTTCTGCCAAAAACTTTTTGCTTCTTTTCATGTACCTTTTGAAAATGACCAATTCCTTTCATTTCCCTTTAGCAATGATTAATTTCTCTTTCAATATGAAAGGATATGACCAATTTTAACGTGGACATGAAAGGAATTGTTAAATATAATGGAATTAAACATTTGCAAAGGATGAATGAAAGGAATAAGTAAAGTTAAAGAGAAAATAACAAGAAAGAACCGCTCTAAAGAAAATATATGTATTAATCGATTTTAAAAGCAAAAAAACAGATTTAACAGGAAAATTGAAGGAAATTATACCAATTGCAAGTTGCAAGTTGAAAAAGAGGTTCATAAAATGGAAAACGAAATATGGAAGGGATGAATCAACTTTAAAAAAGAAATTAAAGGACCGGATAACCCCACATATGAATCTTTACGAATCTGAAGGTCCTAAAGCACAAAGCAGTCAGAGTCTCAATAGCTTCTACAACACGGCCTTGTCAGGAAGTGATATCAGCTTCCGACAACAGAGGGGTGGGTCAGGTGTAAGAGAGTGATGTGCTATTGTGCACAGGTGTGCGCAGCCACAACTAGCCAAAGTAAAACCCCATCGCTCTGCCGACGCAAAACCCCATAGTCAAACTCTTTTTCATCGCGCAAATGAAATCAGGTCGTGTTGGTGAACCTGGGCGATGGCATGAGCACTACATTCAAAAGACATCATTCTAGGAACAAAATCTGCTGTAAAAGTGAAGACCAAAGACTTTGGATAACTTCGTTTGTCACTGTCAGCACATCATTCGCGCCTTGGAAAGATAGAATAACTTCGTGTACTGCCGTACCTGCACATGGCCGATCTTTCGATAAAAGCAAAGCAGCACTCCACATAGAAACAGTGAACTGTAGGAAAGCAGGCGCTTTTTGTTTCTAGGTTTTGTCATTGAAAGCACACCGAAACTCCTTTTCTTCATCGCGCAGACGAAAGGGTTAGTATCTGCAACAAGATGTAGGTGCGAAGTGGCATCTGTCCGGCAGTGCTTTCCAAAGGGGATCGTAAGATGCAGGTGCGAAGTGGCATCTGCCTGGCAGTGCTTTCCAAATGGGATCGCATCTGCGAGAAGACGCTATGCTCATCTGCGTCACAGGTGCGAAGTGGCATCTGCCCTGCAATGCTTTCCAAATGGGATCGTATCTGCAAGAGGATGCTATGCTCTCATCTGCGTCACAGGTGCGAAGTGGCATCTGTCCTGCAATGCTTTCCAAATGGGATCGTATCTGCAAGAGGATGCTACGCTCATCTGCGTCACAGATCTGTAACAAGATGTAGGTGCGAAGTGGCATCTGCCCTGCAGTGCTTTCCAAATGGGATCGTATCTGCAAGAACATGCTATGCTCTTCTGCGTCGCAGAGCTTTGGTGCGAAGTGGCAAACATGAACATCCCATTGCTCACGTAGACGCAGAGCGCCATCTCGGCATCGTTCTGCTCTCTTTTGGAA